TCCTAACAACTTAAGCACTAACCATCAAATAACTTATGCAATAACAACTAATTAACATAAAATAAATTGCATAAATAAATTATTTGAAACAAACAACTCAAATTCTAATAACTCTAGGTAATTAAATTAATTTTAATTCCAAAAGTCACTAGAATAAAATAAATGTTTTAAGATTGTTGGTATTTTTTCATAATAATAAATGAAAAATATATAAAATAAATTAAATAGAAATGACGAAACAATTTTATTATTAAAAGGATGAAATACAGAATAAACGACACAACTAAAAATACATAAATGAATTAAATTACATTAATAATAGAACAAATTATTAGTATATATAATTAAAGATTAGAACTCATCTTTGTAAACTAAATATTGAAAAATTTAAGAACAAATATAAGAAAAGAAGCAAATCGAAACTTGCACTAAACAATTTTCTTAAAACAGATTTACCGCATTCTGATAAATGCTGGAGGTACGCTGGTGTCTGTCTCTCAAGATATGATGATCGAAATTAGCTAATACAAAAGCACCTTCTGAATAGTTTCGGCAAACTTGACAATGGATTTATTCTCTCTAACAAGAACCAAAGAAGAGACTAACAAAAGAAGATAAAAAAAAAATAAAAAAATAAAAAAACTTTGGTGTAAAAAACCATCTCCAACTTTTTATCTCAAAATACTATCTCATTTTTTATCACAAAACCTCTCTAAAACCAACCTACTAGGTTGGAGGAGAAAGGCCTCTATTTATACTAGTAGAGGAGAGCCTTAACCATGAAGGCTAACATCACTGGGGTCATCAAATGTCATTAACTCTAGTCATTAGGGCTAGAGTTAAAAAAGTTCAAAACTCCAAAACTATTCTATAAATCATAATGTAGAATTAAACTAGATGGGTTACAAAATGGATACGGGTGTTGGGTCACAATCTGATCCAAGCCCAATCTCAAACATATACACAAACTAAACCCAGCATAGCTCATCCCAAAACTCAAGACTAGGTCCAAGTCCAAGTCTAAGACCAAGCCCAACACATACACAAGTATAAGTCTAAGACCAATCCAGACCAAGACTAAGTCCAAATCTAAACCCAACTTTATTGATGTCCACTTCATGAAACAATTCTCATTCACAACTCAATGGTTTCAACTCATTATTTCTGTATTGCAAACTTCTCATCTAAGAGAATACTAAACCACTCAGACCCACCTCAACCGACAGTTGGGTTCCACTTTAATTTCGAATTAAAATTTCTAAAAAACTATTATTTTCCAGCAAGCAACAGTGAGAGGTGATTGTCAACCGAGAGAGGTACTGGCCAGAGGTGATTGTTGAAGGAGTTCATCAGTGATGGTGGTGATTGGGTGGTGGTAAGGGGAAGTGAAAAAAAGATAAAGAAATGAAAAAAAAAATTATAATAATTAAATAAGTGGAATAAATTTTATTTTTTTTTTGTGATTACAAAAATTTATTAAATTTTATAAAATGTTTACAGCTTTTTAAAAATGAGATTTTATTTGCAATTTTAACAAATTGTATAAATATTGAATTATGGATTTGAGTAGTTTTTTTTTTAAAAAATTATATTTGAGTTACTTTTTATCTTTTTCTTTTCAAATTTTTATCCAATTTTATTATTGAAATACAATGTTAGTGTTTCAGCTTCTTCTTCTTTTTTTCCCCTAAATTAATAACGCTTCATATTTAGGCAAAACTAGAATATTGTAAAATAAAAATATTCTCCAAATATAAAAGTGACGCTTCTAATATCTTAATAATCTCAATCAATAAAATATCAAATAAGCTTAGGTGACATTAGATAGGAGCAAGTAGGGGTGGCGTCGTGTGTTGTCGTATTGGGTTGTATTTGTATCTTGTCATTTTGGATTCGTATCAAAATTATCTTAATAATAACTTAATTTGTTTATTATTTCGTATTATCATGTCGTATTATTTTCAGTTCGTGCTTGGTTCGTGTCATGTTAACTATCATGTCAAAAAAATTATTATTAACTAAAAATATCAAATGTATGAAAAAAATTAAATTTTCTTCATAAGTTAAATTTAATGAAACTAATCTCTATTAAATGAAATTACTTATAAAAATATTTGATTTCAACTTAATTTTATTTTCTTAATTTATAAAAATTATATTTTATTATTATATTTTTTACTAGATTAACTCAAACAATAGACAAAAAATACATTAAGTTCAATTAAAAGCAAAATAAGATCTATATTAAACTAAAAATCATATTTTACATACTTTTTAATAAATTAGATGTAATTATATAAGAGATTTAAAAATGTCATGATATTCTTTAATGAAAATAATATTAAAATGTGTAACTAAGTTTTCATTATACAGATTATTCGTATCAGTTTCGTGTTATACAGATTTAACACTAACTCGACATGTTTAATATCCGTGTTATCGAGTCATGTCATATACGTGATAGTGTCAGGAAATGATTAATCCTAATCTGTTAACTTCGTATACGGTTCAAGTCATGTTATCGTGTCGTATCGCAAATTTTCACCTTAAGGGCAAGAAGGCCATGTCCCTCTTGTAAGAGCATCTCCAATGACTTGCCATTGGAGTTGCTATTGTCATAATTTGATAGCTAGAGATGAAAAGTGTGCCCCAATGGTTGGTTGTGGCAACTGTCATAACTTCCAACTCATCAGGTTGCAAAACCAAACACAAAAATTGGTGTGTTCGGCACGACCGGCCAGACTATCGATCATCCGAACACACTAGTTTTTGTATTTGGTTATGCCAAAATGATATCTAACTATTGGAGTATCACTGCTATAATTTTACTATTTTTTAGTATTCATTATCAAATTATTTGTAATGACAATGTTATTATAACATTTGTTATTAGAGATACTTTAAGGCCAAGTTTGGCATGATTGAAAAAAGACAAAAAGTCAAAAAGTCACTATTCTATTTAAGTCACATCATCTTATTTAAGTCACATCACCTCTCTAACACATCACTTCAAACCCAACCCAAACCCAACCCATATTTCATAAACTAGGCCTAAGTTTCAAAAGATTGTTTAAGTAACCCCCATTTGATGAATATTTCTCAAATGTATATGTGGATTATCCCTATTTATTTATTTATTTTCTAAATTTTTTAGTTCGTCCTCGATTTTATGATTTCTATGCAATGTATATGGAATGACAATTGGTATGCCCTTAAAATGGCGATTTTAATCAATTATACAATAAGATCCTAATTATATAACTCACAAATTATATAAAATAATTGAAGTAAGTATTATGAATTGATTTATATAAAGAGAAATTTTGATTGAGTTTTTTCTTACGGTAAAAACGAGCAAGTGGGTTTTAGTGGAGATGAGCAATATAGTTATGGATTATCATAAATTAATGTATTTTTTTTGTTGCTCTCTAGCTGTGTTTGTGAATTTATGAGGCTCAAATTAATAAATTCACAAACATAGGCTCATTTTGAAAAGTGGGTTAAAAGTCACTTCTTAACTTTTAACTCATTTTCATCTCTCACAAAAAAAAAATCAAAAAATAATTTTTAACCATCTTTTTAAGATAGACCTAAATTTTATTATATGGACTATAAAGTGACCTCTAGATTTTTATCATCTCACATTGGCTCATCATTTTATTTATTTATTTATGAAGGTTCCAAAAATATTAATTTTTTTAAAAATTAATATCTAAATTAAAAGTTACATAATTTTAAAATTTTAAATATAAAATTAGTTATTAAGAATATTTTAACAATATTAATATAGGATGTTATTCTCAATGCAAAATTTATGTATCCAAGAAAGTTTTATGGGAGCATTAATGAAACTTATTTATGAAAAAGTTAAAAAAAAATTATAAATATTAATAATTAATATCATAATTTTTTTTTTATTAATCTATAATTTTTTTTCGCTGACCTAACCGTCAAGTAATTGTGTCAAGTTTTATTGCCTGACCTGATCAAAAAAAAAAAAGTTTTATTGCCTGACAATTTTGACCATTCTCGTTTTTTTTTCCTTTTTTTTCCTTCCATCTTTAGGTGGCTAGCGTGATTTTAAGGATTATTTGAGATGATGTAAATAAATATATTTTTTTGTCTTTTTACGAAAAAATATTTAAAAAAGTAAAGACGTGATGTGATAAAAAAAAAGATAAAAAGATAGATTATTTTTAAGTTGCCAAACGTGGCCTTAATCTATTATATGATTATTTTATTTTTAATGATGATGACTATTTTAAACCATAGGTGACCTCAATTGGTCACAACTGAAATTTGATTGGAGAACGACATTGCTTCAATTAGTGCTAAGGTCTCGTTTGACAAGTAACTTTTTTTATTAAAAAATTAAAAAGTTAAATAACTTATTTCAAAAAGTTAAAGATTTTTTTTTTTTTATATTTTTTACACATCTTTTCGTAAAAAGTCAAAAAATCATTCCAAACATACTAGCTTTTTTTATATTATATTTTAGCTAAAAAGTCAAAAAGTTACTAAAACAGCATGTTCCTAAACGAGGTTTAAATACGCCAATTAGTATATTAATTAGTGTACTAACATTAATTATGATATTATTATTAATCTCACTCAATCACATTATAAATACTAAAAACTTTTTAAATTGTGTCATATCATCAATTAGTACACCTAATTGGTGCATATAGTATGAGTTATGTTAGAGACCGCAAATTATTTATCAAATTTTTTATCAAATCTCTCGTATAGATGTGACCCACACACATAAATTTATGTAGATCTCACACCTATATGAAAAATTTGATAAATCTTTTAGGTTCATAGCATTTTTCATACAGTATTATTCGCTTCACAAAAGAACAGTGATCCTGATTTTGGTTTCCCACGTGCGAAGCCATGTTTTTATTGGTTGGTGACCTAGCTACGTCCTCAGCTGGTAAGCATACATTAGTTGACCAAGTCCTCTGATGACTTCTTTTCTTCATTTCTTCATTTCTTCGTCTCACTTTCGTTCTCTTTGTCTTCGTACTTTTCAAACCAATCGATTGAAAAACTCTATGTGTACGAATATCTTGCCCCTTTGGTCATTTTAATTGTGGGACTATGACTGAAGAGTTTTTTTTAAGGTAAGGAAGAACACTGAACACGCCTCTCTATCCATGTTAGTTATAATTCCATTCCATAATTTTCTAGTTCTCTTGAATGATGTGTGATCTTGGAAGTGTTTTGAGAACTGGGTTTTGCTTATCATGGATTAAAACGCAGAAAACTATGTGGGTTTTGCTGAGTTTGTGTTGTTATTGAGCTCAGCTCATAAAATGTTTGTTGAAAGGTCTCAGTGTTTGTCACAAATTGGGTTCTGATTTTTAATATTCTAGCATAATTTGATTGTTCTAATCGGGGTTGAGAATTGATATCTGGGTCTTTTGGTCTTTAATCTTTTGAAGAACATTAATAATGGGATTTCTTGGATCTTTTAGAGCTGGTTTGGGGGATTATAAGAATGATTTCTTTCACCTTGATCTTCATCTTTGTTTTTCATTCTTGGAGGAATTGGATTATGATTGTTGCAATTTTGACAGTTTCTACAGAGTTAAAGTAGCTAGTTATAAGTCTTTATTGGGCTACTACTTGGTCTAATTAACATTAAACAATTGGAGAAAATTTGGAAAAACTAGTCATTTATCTTCTTTGATTTCAATGGATGTATTACAAGCTTTTGCTGCAGCAACACAAATAGTTTCAAGCATGGTAGGGGCTGTTAATGCATTGGAACAAGCCTCTAGAAATCTTGAAGAAGCTCCGAAGAGGATTCACAGCCTAGAGGAATTTGTGTGTGATCTTGAGAATCTGACAAACCGAATTGAGCAAAAACATTTTTACAAGCTTCATAATCCCCAGCTGGACCGTCAGCTTCAAAGTTTGAATGGTCTTATTGAACGGCTTCGTCCAAACATGAGAAAGGCAAGAAAGGTCGTGTCAAAGAGTAGAACTAAAAAGTTGGCGATAGTTGTGTGGAGTTCTGTGACTGGCAGTCCACTTGATAAGATAGTAAACTCAATTAGGGATGACTTGAATTGGTGGCTCGAATCTCAAAAGTTGACTGAAGATGTTGAGAAAGTAATTGAATCGACTGCAAGAAACATCCCCATTCGACCAAAAGTAAAGGCAGAGCAAGGTTACCCGATTTCTAGTAAGTGCAAATTTGTGAGAGGCTTACTAGAGCAAGAGACTACTCACCGTGTCATTTTAATTGTTGGGTTATCAGGTATTGGAAAGTCTTGTTTGGCTCGTCAAGTAGCTTCTGATCCTCCGCTGAAGTTTGATGGTGGAGCAGTTGAACTTGGATTCGGGCAGTGGTGCAGCAGGGCTGCTTGTAGTGGTAACAAGGATGAGTACCACAAGCGGTTGGCTAGAAGAATATGTAAGTTGCTCGTGCAGATTGGATTTTGGAAGAAGATTAAAGACGAGAACAATGATGATCTTGAAATAATTTGTTGCTTGCTTCAAGAAGCATTGTATGAGAAGAGCATTTTAATCCTTCTTGATGATGTGTGGGAACAAGACATAGTTGAGCGATTTGCAAAGCTGTATGATAATGATTGCAAATACTTGGTAACTACGAGGAATGAATCTGTATATGAAATAACAGAAGCGGAGAAGGTAGAGTTAAGCAAGGATGACATAAAGGAAATAAGCAAAGCAGTTCTGCTCTATCATAGCCTCCTCAAAGATGATGAAATACCGGTATATTTTATCTATTATATGCATGATATTTATGATTCCCTGTGAATGAATATAATCTAAATGTTAGCTAAATTCATTATTAGAGATTTTGAGTTATTAATATTGTAGAGAAACTTTGAAGGAACCAAATACCTTCCCCAAAAAAGAAAATTCTTGCAAATTCTGTTAGATGGTCTTATCATTATGATGTACAAATAGTGAACAATTCAATTGATTTGTTGTATATTGTGAACTAATTGTATTTCATGTAAAGATAAAACAAGTAAGCATTTGATTTTTATTTGGGTTCTTGATTGGTAATTACTCTCTATTTGACTAACCATTTGGTCTAGACAAAAGAAAACAACAGGTCATTCTTGGGAAAGTATCATAGGCTTTTGGAAAAAGTAATATTCATACCTTAATCACCCAGATGAAAGGGGAGAAATGAGAAGTCCCCACCTTATATATATATATATATATTGTCGTTTTCTTCTTTGAAAATTGCTTCTTGACTGTTGCTTTTCTTTTTTTAATTTGATGAGATTTTTATTGTTCTGTAGGATGTGGCAGATAATTTGCTTGAACGTTGTGGTCACCACCCTCTTACAGTTGCTGTAATGGGTAAGGCTCTCAGAAAAGAGATCAGGGCAGAAAAATGGGAAAAGGCTATCTCCAACCTATCCACCTACGCCATGTGTGCGCCGGGTCCAGTTTCGTATGTAAATGAGAAAGAAGCCGAGAATGCAGTGACCATTTTTGGATCATTTGAGTTCAGTCTAAATGCAATGCCGGAAGATTCTAGAAGGCTCTTTCTAGCTACCGCTGCTCTTTCATGGGCTGAACCCGTGCCAGAAGCTTGCCTAGAGGCTGTTTGGTCAGCTCTTGGGCACGTGAACATGTTTCCTCTCGTTGTTTGCAAACTTGTCGAAGGCTCGCTGCTAAAGAAAACTGATTATTACCACTTGTATCAAGTACACGACATGGTCTCTCTGTACCTTTATGGAAAGATAAATGACTCGCTCAAAATTCTACTGATTGATTTGACACCTGAAGGAACTGCTTTTATCAGCCCTTGGCTTTTTATATTTGGGAAGGAAACATCTCAGAAAGTCGCCGGGCAGAGGATAGAGTTCTTCCTCGGTGTTTTAGAAGAAAAACAGGCAGTTATCACCTTGGAAGCAATTACGCAAGCCATTATGGAAATCATTTCCATTTCTGAATTTGAAGCGAGCAGAGCGAGTTTGAGCAGAATAGTGGGACCCAAAATTGCGAATCTGATCTCAACAGACTCACGAGATCTGATTGCAGCATTGGCAAAAGCAATCACAATTATATTCAGTACGAGCGATTACCGTGATTATTTTCCATCCCTTGAGAATATCGGAGCGGTTGACAAGTTCGCGAGTATATTAGATAACTGTCACGATCCCATGATCCAAACTAACGTTTCGACTATCCTTGCAAAGCTAGCAGAATTCGGAAGCCCTGCCACAGTTGATAAAGTGCTTCGGAGCATTCCCATGAACCGGCTGGCAGATTTGCTCTCTCCCAATGCCAAGGAGTGGCATGACAGCATCTTTACAACGTTGATGTCACTGACCACTGTGGGAAAGTCAAAGGCTGTTGAGTATATGTTTTCATTTGAGATCGACAAGAGTCTAATAAAACTTCTTGAGGTTGGATCTGAGGTTGCACAACACAATGCCATAGCCACACTGAAGGCAATTTACGAGCTTGGAAGCCCTCCTGCAAATTGTTCTCTTCGACCCGGCACTCTCAACCTCTTGCCTTGGCAAGCAAGACTTAGTTTGGAAAAGTTTGTTTTGTCAGATCGAAACATTACCTTTGCACCGAAGCTAAATATATTCGAAGATCTCGTCCACAAGGTGCTTGGAAGTGATAAGAAGATGGTATTGGATGCCATGCAAGAACTCATACCTGTGATTGAGAAAGCAGGAGACCCGGGAACCAGGGACATGATTTTACAAAGTCCTCTGGTCAAACGGTTATCAGACCTCCTGCAACATAGTAATCCAAACAACTCCATGAGATCTCAATCAGCTTTTTTGCTGATGAAGTTAGCTTGTGTTGGTGGAGAGCCCTTTATTAAAAAATTCCTCCAGTACGATATTATTGCTGATCTGGTCAAGATGATGCAATGCAGCATCTCGGAATTGCAGGATTCAGCCTACACAGTGCTGCATCAGATGCTTTTCGGAGATGGTGGAGACCTGATTATGAAGAGAATCCTCCAAATGGGTATCATAGAAAAATTAGTTAATTCAATTGAGGGCAAATCAGCAAAGACAAGGGAAGTAAATGTGAATTGTGTTTTGGATATTGTTGAGTTGGGAAACAAAGCGTGTTTGGAGCAGATGTTTGCTTTGCAACTGGTGGAGAAGCTTGCTAGGGTTGAAAAGGCCAATGGGGGCACTGGTGAAAGCGTGGTTGGATTTCTTAAGAGTGTGGATAAGTGTAAGCATCTCTCAATGGCTGAGCGTAGACTGATGAAGCAGCAAGTGGTGAGAAAGGTGAGGGAGACGGTGAAAGGCAAAGCTCAAATTATAGCAGCTGTAGATGTTTTCATGTCTGAAGGATCAAAAGCCGCTAGTAGTAGTGTTGATAGTGGTAGAAAGTAGTAGCTTTCTCGAGTTCAGTGAAAGAGGGAAGCTTGTTTTCTTGGCTTGCTGCTCGGGACATTTCCTTCTTTATATGTAACATTAAAAATTGTGTCAAATGAAGAACCAATAAAATCATTGCAATTTCGAAACACAAGCACATTACCATGTCCAATGTGTATTCTCTTTGAATAATCAAATGTCAAAAACCATTTATTAAACAAAAACAGAGTGATGGATCATACAATAGAATTCAATGTTGCAACTTCATACAAATCCCACTCTTGCACTCCTGCGTGAAACAACAAATACACAATTTTGTTCCTTATTCGGATGATTATCATAAAGCAAAAAAGTGCAGCTTGCTTTTCCAGATTTTGCTATTTTCGTCCTTCCTATATTGGCCAAGTGGTTGTGCTTGATGGGCTTGCGCATAGTTTGGAAAGTCATATTGTTGTATGCTGTAAGAGATTTACTAGTTTGCTCAATCTGTAAGCTCCTCCATCAAGCCCTGTTCATCACGGCCAAGAATGATATTGTTAGGACCTACAACCCATGGTGTGTGAATTGATACAAAATTTAAGTAAACAACCTGAGAGATGTACGTCTCAGCATCAGTTCTTCTAAGAAAGAGAATGGCATGGCGCGCTAGGTTGGCTATCTGATCGCTGAGTGCCACACTGCCAATATCATCGAGGACTCTCACTTTGATGTATGGATCTTTAGGTGGCACCATGTCCTTGCAGACACAACGGATACAAGACGTTAGTGTTTAGTCAAAGATGCTTAACTATACCAAGCAGTTTCAGAATTAAATGTTCTAAATATTTAGGGTAAATCACACTTTGCCCCTTCATGTTTGGTCATTTTCCCACTTTAGCCCTTAAAGTTTATTTTTTCCACTTGGCCCATCATGTTTCAAGTTTTTCTCAATTTACTCCAAAAGTTAACTTATGTTCAAAATAGACAAAATGACACATTGACAATCACGTGGTATAAAAATATTTATATATATATATATAACTTACACTTTTGACACAAACCCAAATCCCAATATAATACTAATATATTTTTTATGTTAGTGGTAATTAATGTGATATTTTCTGTCTAATTTTGAACAAAAGTTAGCTTTAGGAGTAAATTGGGAAAAAAAAAACTTAAAACATAAAGGAACAAAGTGGGAAAAATAAACTATATGGGCCAAGGTGAGAAAATGGCTAAACATAAGGGGGCAAGCAAAATGTAATTTACCCATATATTTAACTAGCATTATTATTCAAGTAATTCACAAGTCAAATCATATCCCCATTGCATCATTAATCAAATGACTAGCAGTGGTTGTGAATTTATTGTGACCAATTATTCATTGACTGCAGCTATGTTTGCAAATCACAGTGACCATGGATGACAAGCCAACAATCAATAGTTCCAGATACAACTGGCTTTTTGGCAATCATGAACATGAGCGAAGGCCTACCTAAGGACCTAGACTTGTTGCCTCTGCAGCACAAATTCGACTGGGACATGTCACTGACCAAAGAGCAGAAGTTGACAGCAATTCAGTGAATCAAATAAAATACTTCCGTATAAGCCACTGATCTTACAAATCATCTTGCACTTGTGCTTTGATTACTGTTATCATTCGGCAAGTAGTGGGCAGAGCTTGGTTTGATGTTTCAACTTTGTTCGTGGGACTGAATGATCCTATCTTAAGACCAACACACTTTGACCTGACACTTTTTTACTTAGTTGGAAGGATGGTTCAAATTCCTGAAGACTTCAGGTAGAAATGGAAGGGCAAGAGGAGATAGACTATCCAGCTGGATGGGCAACAGGAGCAAAACCCCTGGAAACTCCTGCTTCTATAAGAAGATTATCCAAGTTTTTAAAGGCACACCCCTACAACATATCCAGACACCAATCAAATTTTCATTATCTTTCGAACTGGTTGCATAGTGAAGTTCGCAACAGTAACCAGTGTTTCATCCAACAATAAGATAATCAAATTGTGACCAGGACAACAATAAGATAATCAAACTGTGAAGATCCAAGTTCTGAATCCCAGCTGACTTATCCTGAGTAAAAGGAACTCAAATGTTTACCAGCAGTTCCACTTATAATTACTTTGCCAAAATTGGCCTCCAAATTTTTTATTGCTATATCCAACAATTATCAATTTGTACCTTCGATATTAGAAGGTTTTTAAAACTAAAGTCTCAGGTTGATCTTCACACAGAAAATAGGACCATTGAAGAGGTGTATAAGTGCTGTTGAACTAGATGTCCACAGCCAAATGCTTTGCAAAATGACCTATGATGAGAAATATAATTATATAATATAGAACTTTTTCCACCATTTAACAAGTTTCTTATACTCCAATAAAGAGAATACTGAGATCTTGGAGTATTTATCAATCTGATCTATAAAACAACTTAGTTCTTAAAACACTCGTTAAGATTCTTCGTTGGATAAAGGTTCTTGGTGAGATGCAATCCTTTCAAAGAGTGATTAAAAAATACATTTCATGAGAGAGAGAGAGAACTATTACCACAGCCAAATCAAGATCCATTTCTGATTGATATGACTTAATCGTTGCAGAATGATTCTTGGAATACTCTTTCTCTGAACTGCTGAGCTTCTCTTGAATTTCTTCAGGAAGTGGAGGCTCGATCATCCAGCCTAAGCTTCGAATGACTTCTGCTCGATTATGTCTGTTAAAATACAAAGAACAAAACCCATAATGCTGATGAAGATGATTTCAGGGGGACACACAAGCTAGAAACAGTTTACTTAAGAGAAACAAAAATGATGATGGATCATTACACATAAGCCATAAGGCAGCGCTTGTTGCGGACTAAAGAAAGGTGATGGATGAGTGCCCCAAAGTGGTCTGCATTTTTAGTTTGGCTGTCCGGCCCTTCTTGAATTTTGCTGTGATAACATCATGTTCAGTTAGTCATGTATGCTAAAGGTGATAATACTTAACACATCAATTGCAAATGTAATCATATGAATGTGTGTGCACACATACAGACATAAATATGCATATATGAGTTTGTTATAGTCTCCAAAAATTTATTGACTTGGCATGAACTCAATCGAACACTGGCCATCTTGACAAGTTGACGTTCTAATGTCAAGTTCTTTCTGAGTCAATCCAAAACGCGGCCAACTATAATTTGGTTTATAGTCAATCCAAACCGCGACCAACTATAACTTGGCATGAACTCAATCGAACACTGGCCATCTTGACAAGTTGACGTTCTAATGTCAAGTTCTTTCTGAGTCAATCCAAAACGTGACCAACTATAATTTGGTTTATAGTTAACTTGATAGTTTCCAAACTGGTGCATGACTCAAAAAGTCCAATTGTTATGATGAAGTCAAAAACATGATCAAATGGGTGTTATTATTTTTGTTTCGAGTAAGATTTCTATAACTCTAGTTCACTCCTAAGAAGTAGGATTTTATGAGAACCATTAAGGAACATGCAGAGCATGGTGCAAGTGCCAAAGGCTGGCACCCTCAACTTCAGAGAGCAACCACTAGCTAAGGGTTTGCTCCCAGTCTACCAGTTCAAGGCTTGAGTTGGAGTGGCACCTATGAAGCATGGGTATTACGACACCTATGAAGCATGGGTATTTCGACAAACATGTCGTACCCGTACTGAGTATTTACTAGCGTATGGTACTTCTACATACGTATTGGATACACGAAACACATATCCAAATTTTTCTTCTTAATTTTTGACATTCCCAAACATACCTAGTATATACCCAATCCGTACCATACATCAATCGAAACAATATTTTCTTTTACTATAAAGATAAAATTCCTTTTACTAGTCTTCTTTTTTATTTTTAGTTTTATGCTTAGCACGATTTTAAAATTAAGTTATGGTTTGTAAGTTATTCAATATAATGACATTTCATTTGGTTTATACCTTTACTTTTTTCATTAAATGTTAATTGTAAGTTGGACCTTAACAAATTAAACTATTTAATCAATTTTTACATTATTCCAAATTCAAAATAAATATTTTTTTACAAACGTACCAAGTCGTATCCGTACTCCAATTTTATTAGATTTTACCATATCTATCAACGTACCCATATTGTACCAATATGGGTACTCGTACCCGTACCCGTGCTTCATAGAGTGGAACAGAACCGTGTGCAGGTGGATTTTAGTTATGAGGATTTCAGGAACAACTACCACAAACCAACATGCTGACAGCTCATAAAAACATAAGAAAAGTGAGAAGAAAATAAAAAAACAATAGCATATCATTGCATATAACAATTGAGATGTAAAAGATGGTCTGCTGCAACAATACACCAACAAAAAAGAAAGGATGCAAAAACTAAGAGAAGCAGAGGGAAAACAATGGCAAAAGAGGGTTACCTCAGCAAGGATTGGAGCTGATGGAAATGAAAATTACTTTCTTCAATTACTTGAGAAAACAAATTAGTCTACAAAAGCATTGAAACAAATACAAAGTTAAATGATAAAATTGGCGTCACCTCAACATTGGATAAACAAAAGCTTGATGACCACACTTTTAATGGAGCAATTAAACAATTATATGTCAAAATGAATTATCATAGTGATGTACTTGTAAGTTAAAAAATCAACATTGTGTTGGCCCCAGAAAAAATCAACCACGCCAAGAAATTCATTCACAATTTGTTCATTCATCATCGTAGACAACATATACGATCTGATATGTGGATATTCATGAATGAGCAGCCATCTATTGGCATAGCATTTCATCAAATCAAAATATCATGTGGCACACTCATCCCTGCTTCTATAGCTTCAGTATGCTACAATGGAAGAAATCAAACATATTTGTCTAGCTAATTCATTGATCCATCTCAATGACAAATCACCCCCACCCTTATTGTAGTCCCAAGAGTGCCATCCCAATTGAATAGAGTAAATACATAAATGGACACACCCCAAAATATGAATTTTTAATTTTTACACTTTTCTTCTAAATCCTAATTGTTTGTTTGTGGGTGATTCAAGTTCTCTTGGAATTTTTACATCCGAGATTAACACTTGCTAAGGTATCTTATTTGTATTTTCCTTCTGCTTTTATACCAATAATCATTTGGATTATCCATCTATCTAGACTCTTATAAAGAGAAGGCTAGAATCAGTGTTTATGTCTCATTTTTTGAATTTTCCCAAAATACCCCAAAAGTATTGTCCACATTCAGTTTTTTTTTTTTTCTTTTTCTTTTTCTTTCCACACCAGTTACATGGGCAGTATGAATTCAAATTTATTGTTTCAAATCTCTCAATTGTTGGTCATTTTAGATTCATAAAATGTTTCAATTTTCAATTTTTAAAATCCAATCATACATTTCACAATCTTAAAAAAAAAATTAAATAAACAAAATAAAAATAAAAATCATATGCGCACACCACGTGTATCCACCACTTCTAGTATATTTGACAAGTGTACTCGATCTCGATTATCTTGAGCACAAATTGTAACTTCCGAACTCTACTCTTTAGAAATCACTCAACAGACTCAATGCCCTTTCAATCCCAAACAAACTAACATAATCCCTGCCCTAACCCTAACCTAACCCTAACCTCATCAAGCAATTCAAGCAAACAATCATTATTAAACACTAAGAAACCTCCAAACGATCGGAAATTCAAGTAAAATCGAATTACAACTAGAGGGAACTTACATTGAAAGGAGCAAGCTGCCCAGGTTCGCTGCTCGAAAATTCTTTCACCAACTCGCAAGCCTTCTTAGCATACATATCTTCTTCAACTACAATGGGTTATACCTCTACAGCTTCAATTACTCAAGCAATTCATCAAACACATGAACCACATAAAGTTGCAACAACCCATAATATACATATGTATATATAGACATGTCTATTGAGGTTTTTTTGTTCTTTCATGAAGAAAAGCGAGAATTGTAGATTAAATGGTGGTGTGGACTTACCTGAGCAAGTCGATTTTGAAGGAGATCTAGGGCTGAGAAATTGAACGGAATATGAGAGAAACGAAATCAATTTGTTGAGATGTGTATAGATTTGGAGAGTTTTGGCGGGTGTTTTTTCACAATTGTCAAGATTTTGGCGCCAAAAAGCAAAGACTCTGTTTGGTTTTGAATTTTTTTAAAAAAAATTAGTTTGGTAAAAAAGTTAAGAAAAATTACAAATAGGTGACGCAGTCACAAATAATTATACCACAAATGTAAATTTATTTTTGTGCAACTCTAAGACATTGGAAGATAGGGGTGAGCATGGTCCGGATTGGGATAAAATCAGGACCAATCTGTTTTCTACGGTTCCTAAAATATTGGAACCAATTCAATCCGTTTAAATCATAGAACCAATCCGAACCAATCCATTTAAATACAGATTGGATCGGTTTAGGACCACATAATTAAATAACCAAAATATATTTATAGCACTTTAATTTTATAAAAATATAAACATAGCGCTATATTAGTTCTACAAAAGCAACATATTTTTCTATAATAGCGACATACTGTTCTAAAATTTAAACAACCATAAGAAAATTGATTTCACTATAAGTATTTAAATCATTACAAATTAAAACTAAAAACCAACAAACAAGAGTAATAAAAGAAGATAGTATATGGTTTTAGGTTTGAGTTTAGATTTTATATAGAATTAAGAGAAGATACTATGGGGGAGGATGTATAATAAAAATATAGACTATTTGTATACGGTTCGGATCGGTTCCAATCCGGAACCGTGGGGTTCAATCCGGAACCAATCCGTAGACTACGGATTTTTAATTCTTCAATCCGGAACCAAACCGCGGATTCAAAAAACTAATCCAAACCTATCGGATTGGACTGGACTGGATCGAATTACGGATTTCACGGATCGCTTGCTCAGCCCTATTGAAAGAGTTGCACCAATCATATAAATGAATTTATACCATGCACACGTGAGAGTTACATCATCATAAAATTTTCTTAACACTGTTCCATTAAAATGTAATTTCAAATATATATATATATATATATATATATATATATGATTTTCTCCTCTTTTTTTTTTAAATAATTTTAGAAATTCAAAAAACAAATATATGTAGTATTTGATTTAGTTTTGAAATTGTGATTCCAATCATAAAATTTCAAAATTCATAACTAAATACACAATTCAAAATTCAATTCAAAAATTATTTTTAAAACTTATAATCAAGCACACAATTTAAAACTCCTTTTCAAAACTCATAACCAAACCTTTTTCAAAACTCTATTGAAAAAAAAAGATTATTTTGTGCTTTAAAATTATTTTTTATTTTATATTTTAATGAAAAAATATAAAATTTCCAAAAATATTTTTTTTATTTTTGAAAAAATATATATTTTTTATTTTTTTGAAAATTTATTTTGTTATTTTTTAAAGTATTAACCAAATAATTTGTAATAATTTAGATATATATGGGCGATCCAAATTTTTTAAATTTTTTTTTAAATTAAAATATTTTAAAAAAAAATTAAAATATATAAAAATAAAAATTGTGTATTTAAAATAAAAAAAATACAACTCTTTTTAAAATTTTAAATATTAAAAAAATATTTAAAATATTTTTAAAAAATACGGTGCACACATGTAATAAATACAACACACATTAAAAAATAAATATTTACAATAAAAAAATATTTACCCTCAAAAATAAAATTAAGAATTTTTTAAAATATTAAAAAAATAAATTTCAAAAATTTTAAAATACAACTCAAAACTCAAAACTCTTTTCAAAACTTATAACTAAACAAATTTACTCTTCTCAAAACATAACTTCACACTCAAATCATGATTCTAGAACTAAACCAAACGGGAGTGTTTTTTTTTTTAAACTAACTTGTAATTTTTTTATAAAAAAAAAAAATCAAAAAGAGATTTTGAAAACTCAACCAAAACTATCCCTCATTTTTTTTGGGTAAATAACATTTACCTCCCCTAAAATTTTTGACAAATACAATAATCTTTCATGTGATTTCAATAATTACAAAAACTTCTCCTATTTTTGCTGACAATCTCAAGATTCTTTCAATCCATTAATTTAGCACAAATGACATTACTTTATTACCCTTTGAATTAAGCTGAAAAAGATAAAAGTTATCAACTAATAAGCTATTTAAAAGAAAATTTTCACTCACCTCTCTTAAGATTTTACGTATATATTATTTTAGACTCATGCATATTTTAACATAACACACTAATAGTTTAATATAAAACCCTAATAATTATTACAATACTTATAAGACTTATTAATTTCACACTCTACAAATAACAAAAAAATTATCAATTGTAATTAATGCATTTATTATTTAAATTTATTTTATCTTTTTTTAAGTTGAAACAAACGGATTTTTTTTTTCCACCAATTTGTCCTACTTATTTATTCATATGTAAGAAAATTATTTATTCCTAAATTGTTAAGATATTATTAACAAATTTTAATTTTTATCTTTAAGTCATTAAATTTATAATCGATGCATATTTTTTTAAAAAAATACTGGTTATTCTTACATGATTAAAAAATAAACATAGAAGTAAAAAAATCTAATCACCTCACAATAAATTAAAATTAGTTAATATGGAATGAAAGATCAAGAAATAATTTGAGAATAATAAACAATTCAAACAATTTATCATTTCTTACATCTAAAATTAAAATTAATCTTTACTTGAATGGAAAAATTAATTGAGAATACTATAATACTCAATTAATGTGTTGCATGATACTTAAAATGTATTTATCCATCTACATTTTTCTCATTTACACTATTTTTATTAAATTAAATCTTAAAATTAATTTCTTACCTTCATTAATAGTTAAATTTTTATTGAATTTTTCTCATTTTACCATTTTTTTCAATTTAGCTTTTAAAAATTTTGTTTTCACTTTGCTTCTTTAAGTTTTAATTTATTTTTTATTCCCAATTTACTTAGAAAATTAGCTTTTGTTCAAAATTAGTAGAAAATTTCATATTGACAGTCACATGATATGAAAAATATTATTATATTAACATACATCTCCAACTCAAACTTAAATTCAAATATAATAATGTTTTTTTATGTCTCGTGACAACCAAACGTGATATATTCTATCTAATTTTAGACAAATTAACTTTAAGAGTAAATTAAGAAAAATTTAAAACGTAAAGAACTATAGTGAAAAAAAGGGGGGGGCTAATGTGAAAAAATAGTAAAATATAAATGAGATAAAATATAATTTAGCCTAATATTAATCATTAGTTTTTTTTTTTTCAGTTTACGTAAATATGGTCAAGAGTACGTTTATTAAAAAAATCTAATTTTAGACAAATTAACTTTAAGAGTAAATTAAGAAAAATTTAAAACGTAAAGAACTATAGTGAAAAAAAAGGGGGGGGGGCTAATGTGAAAAAATAGTAAAATATAAATGAGATAAAATATAATTTAGCCTAATATTAATCATTAGTTTTTTTTTTTCAGTTTACATAAATATGGTCAAGAGTACGTTTATTAAAAAAAATTAATTTAAATTAAATGTTACCATATTAACGGAAGAGGTTATTGAATATGAAGCTTGACCTTAGACTATTTTTTTTTGCAAATATCTTTTTATTTTAATCCTTATATTTAACTAGCAGTAGTGATTTAGACCCGCTCAAACTTCAACCTCCACCACCCCCCCACACACATGGCGGATGGTGATTGGAGGAGAAGAAGAAAAAGAAAAAGTGACCAATCAAAAAAGAAAGGGGGTCAAAGGAGGTGAGGAAAATGGGGTCCCAATCTTTATTCATATACATATATATACTCGTGTTTATTCGCATTTGAAGGCACAGTGTAAATAAAAATAAGTAAATAAAAAGAAAAATAAATAAATAAATAAACAGAGAGGAAAAAAAAAGGAGAAAATAAAAAATAAAAGAGAAAGGTGGAATCATGAGATCATTTATGAGATTATTCATGGGATCATGGGAAAATGTACCCGTACAATACATCACAGTTGTTGTTTTGTAATTTGAAGATATCTGAGCGGTCCAAATGTCTTAGTATGACAAATGTGTGTAGGACATTTTCAAAAATCTTCTTGTCTTATTATATAGATATATGTATTATTAAAAGTAATCAATGTGTTTGGTTTGAGTTTTTGATATTAAGTTTTTTTAAAATTGAGTTTTTTGGTTTTCGTGTTTCTAGTGAATATTTTTAAAAGTTTAAACATCTTTTTTATTTTTTTAGATGCACCTTACTTGATGTATCTAAAAAGTAAAAAAATTATGAAAAAATATTTTAAAAAATTAATAAATACATAAGAATACAAAAAATGTAATGAATTGTCATTTATTTATTTATTTTGTATTTTTGGTCATTAGTGAATTTTTAAAAAAAAAATCACAATTTTTTTTACTTTTTTGGTACATTTATGTTAGGTATATCTAAAAAGTAAAAAAAATTACTTAAAATATTAAAAAAAATTTAGTAAAAACAAAAAAAATACGGAAAACAATAAAGTAAAAAATTTTTGAAAAATATTTTTGAAAAAATGTAACCAAGCAATATATTTAAGTGGCATATTATAATGTCTTACTTTTTTATTTTTTATTTTTTTAAGAAAGCCACATTAATATGTATTTTTTTAATTACGTAAAATTCTACACATACCTAATTTAAATTATACTAATTTTACCTATTTTATATGAACTCTATTTGACAAATATTTATTGTTCATATATTTTTCATTGTAAATTGAGATAATCCACAAACTCAATACCAGTTTTGCGTTTCACTTTTTTCTTCTTAATTATTTCAAGGGTATTAGGGATTTTTTACTACTAAATTGCCATCTCTTTTTTTTCCCTCTTATTTTTTCACCTGCATTATTTTATACCTAATACCAATTATATATCATTCTATATTATAGATTTGTCGTTTAAATTTTATAGTGATTCTATATATAAAATTATACTTTATTTTTTACATTATTTTATATAATCACAACTCACATGAGAAAAAATCTGTACAATAATGATACTCTCGATGAACTTCTAAAATTTGAATTTACTACTTGAGTTACTTTTTCAATTATTAAACAGTAATTTTTTTTATATTTTGACATCATATTACAGATGATTAATCATTTCACACATTGAGATGTATCTATCATTTGGATATTTTCATTATTATTATTATTATTTGGTTTATATGTTATTATGTGATTCATTCTTTGTTAGCCGTTATTAGATTTTTTTTTTATATAGTTGGTATTTTAATTTAATTAAGAGTGCTTATTTTGCAATCTTATAGTTTAATATATATATTATAAAATCATTATATGATAATTTAACTACAATATATTTATATTTAATTTTTTAATAAATTTTATATGATATATATTTCTACATATTTTTATTTTACAAATGAATATAAAATTAAATTAAATAGTTAGGATTATTTTTAAATTTAATTTTATGTCACTAATTTAACTATTATTTTTAATATCAAAGTGAGTATTTATTTTACTATATTATAATTTAATTTATATTATACAAAATTATTATATGATAATTACATTTTTATAATACAATATAACTAAAATTATCAAAATACACAAATAATTTAACTAAAATTAATATATATACGTATTCAAGTTACAATTTTATAGAACGGTAACACCAATATTATCAAAATAAATAATTAAAATCACACTTTAATTTTAATTTTAATCTTAATCTTAATTTTAAATTAAAATTAAAATTATTATTTTATGGGAGATCTATTAGAAAATCATTTTTCAAGTGTTTGTATCCCAATTAGTCCATAAGATATTATTGTATTCTAATAAGTCCTATTATTTGAATATTTGATTTATCAAATCTTAATTTTCATATTTAAAATATTTTATGTACATTTCTATCCTTACAAATATTTTTTGAATGGTTAGCAATTTAGTGATATAAACATTCATATTTTACGACGTGAATATTCACATTGACGTGTAAATGTTCACATTGACGGTGTGAACATTTACATTACGGAACATTCACACTGTAAATGTGAATATTATTAGGGGTATTTGGTAATTATGTCACTCATAAAACTTATTGGAATATAAGAAAATAATGTAAACTAAATAGAATATAAGTAAGTGAAAAAAAGATTTATGAAAAAGTGCCCCTTCTTTTATAACACATATAATCAAATATTTATAAAAAAAAAAAGAAAGAAAAAACACGTGCATTGCACGGGTCAACTGCTAGTATATATATTATTAAACTTATCTCCATCATCTCCTTTGTTGTCGTGTTCCTAAGTTGAGATTATTGAAGAATCTAAGCCTCTCATCATATTCTAGAGAATTCGAAATTGTTCTTCAAGGATCTTCGAAGATCTTCGAATTTTCCAACTCCTTTCTTGAACCCTTTCCTACATAATCAAATATTTATAAAAAAAAAAAGAAAGAAAAAACACGTGCATTGCACGGGTTAACTGCTAGTATATATATTATTAAAAGTAGTGTTTTTCCTATGTTTAGGTGACACATTATAAGGGTTTTTTTTTTTTAAATTGAGTTAATCTACAAACCCCATACCAATTTTGCATTTCACGTTTTTTTTCTTAATTCTTTAAAGGGTTTTAGGATTTTTTTAAATGCTAAATTGCCTTTCTTTTTTCTTATTTTCCCATGCATTATTCTATACCAATACCAATTTTATATTATAGATTTGTTGTTTAAATTTTATAATGATTTTATATATGACATTATACTTCATACATTATTTTATATGATTACAACTCACAGAAGGGAAAACTTGTACAATAATGTTACTCTTGAGGAATTTATAAAGTTATAGAAATTTACTATTTGAGTTACTTTTTCAATTGTTGAACAATAAATTCTTTTATGTTTTGACATCATATTACAGATGATTAATTACTTCACACATTAAGATGTATCTATTGTATGTATGTTTTTATTAATTTTATTTATTTTTTAAATGTTGTTATGTGATTTTTTTTTTTGGTTAGTCGTTATTAAATTTATTTTATATAATTGATATTTTAATTTATTAAAAGTGTTTTAATTTCTATTTCTACATATTTTTATTTTCCAAATGAATATAAAAGAAAATTAAATAGTTAGAATTATTTTTAATTTTATACTACTAATTCTTCTTTTAATTTAACTATTCTTTTTAATATCAAAATGAGAATTTATTTTACTATTTTATAATTTAATATATATAATATAAAAATATTATATGATAATTGCACTTTTATAATACGATAGAACTAAAATTATCAAAATATATAAATAATTTAACTAAAATCAATATATATATATATATATATATGTATTTAAGTAATAATTTTATAGAATGATAACGCCAATTTTGAAAAAAAATCGTAGGTACATTATATGGGTCAACAGCTAGGAATATATATACTAGATGATATTTTAAAACAGTAATGGTTATAAAAGTTCTTAAAATTAATTTAGCAAATTAAAGGTTAAATTAATGTGTTTTAAATTATTGTCACATTGATCAAATAAATAATAAAAGTTAGTGTAATTTAAAATGTTTAATGAATTTAGAAATGTGATTTAATTTTCTTAAATGTGTGTGTAATTTAAACAATTAAAATAACCAATGATAACCAATAATATATTCACATATGTATTTTTGTATTTTAATGATTCAAAATATTGAGTAAATTGTGTTGAGAGTTTTTTGAACTTCAAACACTACAACGTTAAAACCGGAGAACGCGGTATATCCGGAAGCCTTAAACCCTATAAATGCGCCTATATCAACTCTTTCTCCTCTCAATCTCTATATCTAAACCTTTGCAGACCAAACCCTTAAACCCTAACCCTAACCCTAACCCTAACACTAACCCTAATCAGTCGAAGCAGCAGCTTGACACATTGAAGGTATTTATTTTTTCTGAAATCTTCTTTCTTTCTTTCTGATATGATGAGAATTGCTTCAAATTTGATTCAAAGTGCTTGAGATTACTTGTTTGATATTGCTTGAGATTACTTGTTTGAAATTGCGTGATTATTGTTGTTGTTGTTGTTATTTTTTGGGTGAATTGTTAGTAAAAAAAAATTATTGTCTGTTTGGGGGAGTTTTTGGCAGATTTGGAATTTCATTTTATTTTTCGTTTGGTTGCAGTGGCGTCCTAATTTCCAGAACAGAATGCCGAAAGATGAAAGTGCTCCTCACAGATTTTTTGATCGGTCCAGAAGAGCATCTCCATATGCTCGTAGCCCTATAAACACAGAGCAGTACAGACCCAAAAGTCGTTTGCAATCAGTTGAGGGAGATGAGAAGGAATGGGAACAAGTTCGATGCCCCATTTGCATGGAGCATCCTCACAATGCTGTCCTCTTACTCTGTTCTTCCCACGAGAAGGGATGTCGCCCTTACATGTGCGACACCAGCCAGCGCCACTCAAACTGTTTCGACCAGTTCTGCAAATCATCACCCACTACTCCATCATCAACAGATCTTACTCAACAAGTTCCTCTTTACACTGCAGCCTATCGCGAAGGAATTGAGGAACAACGACAAAATATCATCCCCAGAAGGAGGATTCCTGGGAGACAATTCCAACCAAAGCTTTCGTGCCCACTCTGTCGGGGCCAAATTAACGGGAGTATAGTTATAAAACCCGCTCGCCATTTTATGAATTCTAAACCCAGGAGTTGTTCTCTTGAGACCTGTGATTTTAGTGGGACTTATTCAGAGTTAAGGAAGCATGCAAGGCTTGAACATCCTTTTGTGCGGCCATCAGAGGCTGACCCGAGACGCCAGAGTGATTGGATGAGCTTGGAGCATGAACGGGATTTGCAGGACATCATTGGTGCATCTGGGTTGGTGTCTGCAGAGGAATGGAATCATTGGATGTCTTTGGATGGGGCCATTGACGAATTAACCCTTGCTTCATCTCAGTTGGAGTTTGCAGAGGCATGGAATGATTGGATGTCTATGGATGAGGGCATTGATGACTTATTGAATACATTGCAGCAAGAGGTTGAGGATCAACAGTACAACACTCTGCACATGGAAATTGAGATTTTCTTACGTTATGCTTTGAATGAAACAAGTGTTTCCGGTAGTTCTGAAGCCAGTGACCAATCACTTTACTGGAGAACCACTGGAATGATGAGAACTGGTAATCCTCCACGTCCAAGTGTTAATTCTTTGAACGAGACAAGTGTGTCTGGTAGTTCTGAAGCCAGTGACCAACCACGTAACTGGACAACCACAGCGAGGCTGAGGGTTGGTAATCCTCCAATTCCAAGGGTTGATTCTCTGAATGCGACAAGTGTGTCTGGTAGTGGTGCATCTGGGTTGGTGTCTGCAGAGGAATGGAATCATTGGATGTCTTTGGATGGGGCCATTGACGAATTAACCCTTGCTTCATCTCAGTTGGAGTTTGCAGAGGGATGGAATGATTGGATGTCTTTGGATGAGGGCATTGATGACTTATTGAATACATTGCAGCAAGAGGTTGAGGATCAACAGTACAACACTCTGCACATGGAAATTGAGATTCTCTTACGTTATGCTTTGAATGAAACAAGTGTTTCCGGTAGTTCTGAAGCCAGTGACCAATCACTTTACTGGAGAACCACTGGAATGATGAGAACTGGTAATCCTCCAAGTCCAAGTGTTAATTCTTTGAACGAGACAAGTGTGTCTGGTAGTTCTGAAGCCAGCGACCAATCACGTAACTGGACAACCGCAGCGAGGCTGAGGGTTGGTAATCCTCCAATTCCAAGGGTTGATTCTCTGAATGCGACAAGTGTGTCTGGTAGTTCTGAAGCCAGTGCTCAACCACATAACCAGAGAACCACAGCAAGGATGAGGGTTGGTGCTCTTCCAAGGGGCCCGCTTGCTAGTAGAACGGGTAGCCGTTTGGCACGGGGGAGCAGGTCAAACCGAGGAAATTAGTTATGTAATCGCACTGTTGTTGGCTGGCTGAGAATAATACAGTAAAGTGAGGTGTATGTTGAATTTATTTGGTTTAAAATGTATTTGTTAGGTTTTTGAAATTATTTTGCATGGGAAATATGAAAATTGTAGTCATTATATTTGTAGTTAAGAAGCTACAAACAATTACATTGAGTACCTAGAGCAATAAAAATCCTAGAGCAAGAATTGACTTGGGAAACTTTTATGCTATTTCAATTTTGGCTAAATGCGTGAAATATTGTATTGATTATGACATGGCTCAATCTTATAGTCCATTGGCCTCTTTTGATCTTAATAAAAAAGCTCCAGCTGCGGTATTTTCTGTAATAAATTTGTTGTAGGTAATGAATAGAAAATTGGTTTGGTGGTTCTATAGGTTTTTGTTTTTCCTAATTTACAATGATCATGTTATATGCAGAAATCCTAATCATCAGATAGATCTGGGTGGAAGGTTTTGCTGTTGGGTTGAATCATAATATTGCATTATTATGTAAAAATCTGTATATATTTGTTGGTCTTTTTTGTGTTTCTGAATAGATTGTATAGAGAAATTGAATGCAATTATTAAATTGCCGTGTAACTTTGCTCCCTGTTAATGAAATGCTATTTATCCCTTAAAAAAATTTATAGCCTAAACAGAGCAATTTTGCCTCAAAATTGCATGATTAGGCAAGTATATTGAACACAAAAGCAGCTGCAAAAATTGACGTTGATGTACACAGACAGACACAAGCATGTTATATGTAAATGTTTTCTTTGAGTGCAGTCCGCTTCAAATTCTCCAAGTGCTCATGCTTGTGGATGACATTTTCACACCAACCATAGTCTACTGTACTAATCTTCATCACCATTAAGTCTATTCAATAAAAACATGTTTCTACTCTCTCTCTCTATGTGGTAAAACTCATCCCTTCACTTGCAAATCTAGAAAGCAAGTTTGATTTTCCAACAACTAAATCGCCAATGAAAACAACCTGGAAAAGAAAATCCTCAAATTGCTCCTCTTCAGTACACAATGCCATTTTCAAACCCTCATACAATGCCGCACTCAACTAGAGAACCATATTAGCTGATGTGTGATCTTCAGTATCGTGGGTCCTTTTCCAGTAGCTAAATGTCTAAGAAAAATTAAACAATCCCCAAATTCAAGATGAGAAGCTGAAATTAGACAATATAAGGACAAGGACAGTGGTTTCCACACTCATCTCCCTCCCAAATGGAAATATATCTGAAGCTTTCTCAACTTCAGATTCCAATCTGGTCAACCAAAGGCAAGTCTCAAGGTACCTGCAGTTTCAAGAAAGCATCAAAATCTGAAAACTTTTACAGAAGGATTTAGCTTTTTGATTGTTGATTCGTTCTCAAAGTGCTCAGAAAAATAAGTAGCACGTCCCGGTAGAACAAATTATCTTGAAAGACGACCGTACTTTGATCTTTGCAACTGACAGTCTATTGTAAATGTGCTCGTTGGGTGTAGGCTGCAGCTGCTCTTTCTACGGAGGCTCTATTATGTAATTTGAGAAGTTTCTCTTTGGATGTATATATTACAAAATCACTGTAGATGAGTTTCAAAAGTTTCTCTTTGGATGAAAATTTCTATGTAATTTTATATTTTTTGTTAATTTTTTTTGGTAGCGGGGAAGTGAATTTTCTGTATTTTGGTTTCTAAAGTTGCATTTCCAACCGGTCTTTGCTTAAGAGCAAAAGAAAAAAAAATGATGATCTTTCCAAGGCGATGATAATGAATATGAAGGTATATTAGACTTTCAAATGCACGATCTTTGTGGATTCTCTGGTCAAGTTCTAACCACTATTTCCATTTTCTCCATTTCCAAATTTGCATCTCTAGGAAAATTTATTTCTCATATTTCCTTGTGATTTTTTGCAGAATGACACTGCTTTTAGGTCCTCCAAGTTCTGGAAAGACCACACTGCTGTTGGCTTTATCTGGAAAGCTTGATTCTGATCTTAAGGTAAATGCATGTCATTGAAATTTCAATTCTTTCTTGAAATTTGAATTTTTAGCTTTGAAGTATAGGGCATGTACCCAAAAAGAACAAAAAAACAAAGAAACCCCAAAAATGAAGGGTATCGTGTAGATTACATTTTCTGGGTAATTTTTGGGATAGTTGGGTGGGATTATTAATCCAATGGATATTAATCCAATTGGATAGTGAATCCTACACTAATTTAATAGGATTATTAATACTTCACTATTAGTCTTTTGAATCAAACATGAACTTAAGGTAAATGCATGTCATTGAAATTTCAATTCTTTCTTGAAATTTGAATTTTTAGCTTCGAAGTATAGGGTATGTACCCAAAAAGAACAAAAAAACAAAGAAACCCCAAAAATGAAGGGTATCGTGTAGATTACATTTTCTGGGTAATTTTTGGGATAGTTTTGCGCAGTAATGTTGAGAGTTATATGGCTAATTGGTCCCATCTCCAATGTGAAACTGATATTTTCTATTTTCTGCAATGCTAGTTTTCTGGGAAAGTGACTTGTAATGGCCATGAAATGCATGAGTTTGTACCACAAAGAACTGCTGCATATATCTCTCAACACAATCTGTATATCGGAGAAATGACTGTGAGAGAAACCTTGGCATTTTCAGCAAGATGCCAGGGGGTTGGATCCCGTTATGGTTAGAAACAAAAACAGTTTTTATTTTTATGTTTATCGTACATTGAAAATCATGTGCATTGTTGACTTATTGACATATATTAATGATTCTTTTTCGAACATTTGTAGAGTTGTCAAAGAGAGAGAAAGCAGCAAATATTAAGCCTGATCCTGATATCGATATCTTCATGAAGGTAAGAAAGCATTGTTTCCAACTTCAAACAACTTCCAAAGAGATATAATTTGCAGTACTGATGCTAGTCGTGGTCCAAATAGAAGCCCAAACCAAGATCCCAAATATGTGATCCTCCTTTAAAATGAAGAAAAACCAAATGCACCATTTTAAGTTTGGGATCTAATTTAAGAAGTTAAACAGCTTTAGCTCTTTTTGCTTTTAGTGGGTTTTTTTTTTACAAATTTATTTATTTATTTTTCACTTTTCTAGTTCATTTAATTAAGTAGAACCTAAAAGTGTAAAAACAAATTAAAATTTTAAAATACTAAAAATAATAAAATAAAAAATCACTAAAAAAATTAATTCCCAAAAGAGGATTTTTTCTTAGAGTGATCTTAGAATTATTTTTTACATTATTGAGATTTAATTCTACCAAAATTGAGGGTACAATAATTATTTCACCTTTTAACTCTCAAACCCTAACCCTATCACTCTATAATCAATGTAAGGTCCCCTTTGATTAGAAAGAAAATTTAGTAGAAAGTGTAAGTGAAAGAAAATGAAGTAAAATAAAAATAAAAAATAGAAGATAAAATATATTTTCTTACAAGTATTTGATTAAGATGAAAAATTTGTAAGAAAAATATAGAAAAAATTAAAAGTTTTGTTATAGATAATTCACACATTAAAAAAAATAGTATTTTTTTTTTTGGGTTGTGTTTTTGTGTTTTTTTGTAAGAAATTAAAAATTAGATATAATACTAATAGGAGTTATATAATAAAATTAGTTTTCTTCTGAGTGTAGTTTTCTAACACTTTTTTCTTAAAACATTTTTTTAAAATACTTTTTCACCATTTTTAAAATATTCTTCATATTAATCCTAATTTTAAATAATGTATATGAGGCACTGGTTAGACCATCTCTAATGATTCATCAAATTTAAATTTGATGAAAAAACTTACTTTTTGTTGCTCTAATGATTCATCAAATCTTTCATCAAATACAGGATTTTTTAAATCTTTCATCAAATTGAGAATGAATGTGACTTTCCTCAAATCTTTGTTCATAACCGTTGGATTTTCACCACCGGATGTTCCCCCAGATGACCACCTCTAAGTAAAAATTTGTACAAAATTTATACTGGCCAGTCAACCGTCTGGTCGACCGGTGTTTTGATGAAGTTTCAAAAAATGTCCGTTGGAACACTTGATATCAAATGGACTTTTTACTCAAATTTGGTGAAAAATTTGATGTACCGTTGGAGATACTCTTAGCAATTTATCTTTTTATTTTCAAGGCAACTTAAGAGGTGCTTTTGTGCAAGATTGGGGAGTTTATTTCAACTTCGTTTGGGATGAACTTTTTTAATGTGACTTTTTTATTATTATTTTAACTTAATTAAAAAAGTTGTGTTTGAAATAATTTTTTTTTAAAAAATTAATTTGATGATTGTGATAAAAAAAATAAAATAATTATGATTTGAATGTGACATTTTATCTTATTCATTATTGTATATATATATATTTTTATCTTTATTAACTATTAGCCAAAAAATTGTATCTCAAACATAAAAAATTGTTGGTTAGTCTAGGGCAAGTGTGTAAATTTGGCCCGGCCCAACCTACGTAGGCTTGGGCTTGGCCCGGCCCGTGTTGGATCGTGCAGGCTTCAGCCAAAATTCGGGTCGGGCAGGCCTACGAACCAGAAAATTAGGCCCTGGCCAGGGAGATATTCGGGCCTGAACATTTTTAAAATTTTTTTTTCTATTTTTTCCACCAAAATTTTATTTTTTGCCACTAAAAATGACAGTAGGCCTCGGGTCAGGTTTTGAATGAGCCTTAACCAGACCGATGGCCTGAGCCACGGACTTGGTCCACAAATTAGTCTGGGCTTCAAAATGACAACACAGGCCCAGGTATAGAGTCCTGGGCTAGGCTTGGGCTCGAGCCTAATTGGGCCGGCTCCACCCTAGACCGTGGGCAGGTTTCGGGCCACCCATTGGCCACGAACCATTTTTACACCCCTAATCCAGGGTACCACATGACCATACCCTTTACCAATCACAATTTACCATGACCCTTTGTTGGTAAAAATTTAATTCAAACCCAATCAACAGTGATTGATCTACAAGCTTAAGTTAATTTTCAAATAAAAATAAAAAATATCAGATTTGTAGTTGAGTTCTATGCCTTAAACAGATTGAAAGCTTCCTTGAAGGCAAATAAGCAATAAAGAGATAGAACATAAAAAGAATATTTATTAATTCGAACAAATTGTCACTTGTCACTAGTTACAAGAACCTAAACAAGAATAAAAAATTGAAGAAATACATCAATCGATAGAAAGACAGTATACTTATCGATAGAAATAATAATAATAAAAGCAAATGTGGTCAAGATTATTCTTAAAAATAGTCTATCGTCTCAATTGATAGACCATAACTAAACTTGGTTATAATCAACAGACCATAATCGACAGAAAAATAAAATATAGTGCAAACATCTTTCATATTATCTAGTCACCTAATACAAATTCGTAAAATCCTATTGGAGCACAAATAACTTCTCCTCAAACACCACTTTTGGTCCCATTTGAGAAGTCAGTTAAAAGTCAAAATTTAATTTTTAACTCATTTTAAATCACATCACCCCTTATATTTTTGGATAAATTACACTTACACCTCTTGAAATTTAGGTTTAAGACATATCACCCCTGACATTTGGGAAATTGCACTAACCCTCTGTCATTGTAATTATTTAAACGAAATAAAGACATTGAACTCATGCACTCTTTTTTCTTTTCTTTTTTTTGCTTTACTTTTTCTTTTTTTTCGCCTTTCCTTTACTTCTTTTTTTTTTTAAATGTAATTTCCTCTATTTTTGTATTAGGAGTTGTTGCCTTTTATATAAGTAGGAGGTTTGTGAAATGAAACTATTAACCACATAAGTGGAAATATAATTTCCAAAACATCAAAGGGTGGATAGTAATTGAACCAAACCTCAAGGGGTTAATGTAATTTATCCTATATTTTTTATACATTATTTTAAAAAAATTTAA